CGTAGACTGTACCACAACTGCTGCGCTGTCGGGTTAGGTGGAAAACGGAGACAGCTACGCTATCAATGTCGTCCGCAAGCGAGACGATCCGTCGGGCCAAGCATGACCGACTGACATGTCGTGATGTTGGAGCTAAGGTAACCAACTCCAAGAAGCGGAGGCCCACGTAACTGGAAAGCTTCCGAAATATAAGACAAGCAAGCGCCCCCGGGTGCCTTCCAGTCATCCACCTTGACGCAGGGCCCGACTGAAGATATCGACTGCGACTCAAATGATGGACAGGCAAGAGTGCTTAAATACGCAATTCCGTAGTCATCGTGCACTTGGCGAACTCGGCCCGAGGGTCGAGAACAAGCCCTTGGGCGCTACCTGCCGTGCGTGCATGCCACGGCCAGCTAGTGTTGCCGCAGAGTCGGAGCCACTCCGCCGGCATGTCGGCATCTCACTCTGGATGCGTCCGGAGCGAGGGCTCCGATCTCACTCTAGAGTCGACGCCGTACACCGTCACTCTTACTCGCATCCACGACGCCTCTCATCTACGGTCATATTCTGTCCGTCTTGAGGTCTGGCAACCTGCTTAAGCCCTAGTAATCACCACTTTATCTGAATAAATTATCATATATTTCTCCCAGAGCAAGGGCTGTGCGAACAAAGGCAGCTGTGAGGTATGTGTACACGAGATGCACGAAATCGGCTGAGTACGCCAGCGCACCGTATGCTCGCGGCAACGCCGGTTCCATAACTTAATGTAGACCAGGCAAGACTTTGCTCAACGGGCGGATACTTTGTGGCTTTCGAGTTTTTCCCTCCGTGGCGGATTCAGGCAACTCAGGGAATAGTTGTTCTGCGAAGGTCTCCGACGTCTAAGGGTCAATAAATACAGGTATGTTGCGCATGCCAGATGATTCTAAGCTTCGCTTGACTGAACAGGCTTTGTGTGGTTATCAAGTCCCTTTCATGATATCTCGTGTTCTCATGGCGATTCCTGCGCCTTGGAACCGGCGTTACTGACACCAGAGGAATATATCGCAGCTTCAGCGAGCTTTCGTGAGAGAGAGTACGAGCACTTGCCAGACTCAGCAGATTAACTTGCTGCACGGCTGTAGATATGCGACAAGGTGTGTGATCTACCCGTGCTCTGGCAGCACTCACTCATGCATTATTGCGGGAACTGCGAAGATACCGATTACCATGTGCAACGTGCCGCGACGGCCATCGTGCGCAAGGCCACGTCTTTGGCGGCCACCGCGCGCATGCCAGACAAGCTCAATTATTTGAATCAACCGGGTTCAATCATGATTGCACAAGGTGAGTTAATGCTATGGCGGTGCGCACTTGACTCCAGGCCTGGCCCCCATGTCACTATGCCGCACACGATGAATCTGCGCTCGGACGAAAGCGAACCTGCACGCGAGAGTCAGTTGCTGACAATCATTCAGCTGAAGACATACCCTGACTGGGATTCTCTTGTGCATAGACAGCAAGGGCTCCGCCATGAAGGACGTGCCTCCCTTACTTCATCTCCCCTGAGTCTTTCTGCAAAACACTTCTTTCGCATCCGACCATCTGACCCTTGTCACGCTAGACTTTGAGTTACTCTCTTGTTCCTTCTCCTATAGATTTGTTTCTATACCTGTTTCATTTGCATGATGTCATGCCCTTTCATTATATCCCCAATCTACACCACTTTCTGTTCTTGACTGACAGCCATACACGCTCGCGCGATCTGGCTGTATAATATAATAGCCGCTGGAAGTTCCAGTGCTACATCTCTGCTGCGACCTCCCCTACCAACTTGCAATGGTCTCCTTCTCAGAGACTTTTATATTTGCTTACACGGATCAAATAATAAGTCCGCTCTCTCAGACAGGAGGTGCCTGTCGCCGCCGTGCCTGCTTCAGAGTCACGACTTCATGTTCCCGTGCCGCACATAATGAGCACCACTCGGATGCGAATAGAGCCCACGTTTGGTCACCTGAGAGCATCGCCTGGCTGGAAGCTCTTATGTGCAGGTGGATTATAGGGACAGCCGCGTGAATGAGAGGCTCTCCGCCTGATTTGTTGCCGTCTTCAGATGTGACCTTGTCTTCTTTTAGACTTATCCTGACGCGGACGCTGGGTGCAGCGTCACTCTGACTTACTCTGGAGTCCTCCGGATTGCCACATGTTCACTTCGGAGGAGTCCAGAGTGACATGCCGAACACGCCGGCGACGCCGGAGCCATCCGCGTCCACTCTGCGGCAACACTACACGGAGGAGACCGCTCCTCTTGGAGTCGAGGCCGGACTCAGGTTCGGTGAGTCGAAGCCCACCTACGAGTTCGACAGGCACGTACGGTGGCATAGGTCCGGGAGGGGCTACGGGCCGGTCTCGCCAAAGTAGGCCGCCTCCTGCAATAGCAATGGGGGATAAATGAGTACTTCAGCTGGTTTCCAGATGCACGTCTACATGGCAGATGTCTATTGTCATCTCTTCGATGGCCCTAGTCCCGGCTCGACGTCTTCGGACGCGTTCAGGTTCACGTCGCCAAGCGGCACCGATTCATTTACCTGGCTTGATGAGCGCGGCTCTGTGCTACAGGACAACAAATATAAACGGAAGCGACGACAAAAAAATATAAAGTATACACACGCATCTACGACGGTCGTAAGCATGTTGCCGTTTTTATGATCGTGTGTCCTTGACCGACGATTACTTGAGGCCGTGCTGCACGACGACGTCAGTAGTGCTGATAAGATAGATTAATTCCTGTACGTACACTCTTTGGCCTTCCTCGTTTATGCTCAGCAAGGAAGACACAGCCGACGAGGACACGATAACACTGCAAAGAGCGAATATTATTCTGCTTCTAGGTAGGCTGCCGAGCGACGTCATACCTGATCGTGCACCCTAGTAATCCCGATGATAATATCGTCAGTATAGTTTTGGTTCGTCCAAGAGCCTCACCTGGTGGCAATAAGAAGATGTTCATGACCTCTGTGGCATATTTAGTCCATTAACACGAGAATGATTTCGCCACAGCGGCGGACTCACCGTTGAGATTAAGGAGGTACAGCACCTATTAAGATCTTAGGTGGGACCAAATGTGTCAAAAGGAATTACGCTTACAGAGACAGATATGCAGGTTAGAAGTGTGATCAAAACATAACTTGCCCCTTGTATTGCCAATGTCGGCCAAAGCGGCCATGCCGCTAAGAGCCCCTTCCTGCGTATGCCTGACACGGTCAGAGCTAGAATAGAGACATCCCATGTTATTGCTGTCGAGCCACGAGCCTTCAGAATGGAAACTGCATGTTCTAGTTTGGCGGACTGACTACACATCAGGAATCCCACGAGCGCCTTGCGCGCGGCGTCGGCATCGAGAACGCATGTTTGATGAACTGGGTCCCACTTCTGGCGAACTCCTGCGAGGCCCACTGGCACCTTAGTCAGCTTTCTGTACCGTAACGCCGAGGGTGGACTCACAAACTACGGCATAAATCATATGACCAGCACATAAGATGCGGAGAATCCAAGACGCAGCCCGCTTATCTTTCCAAAGTACCATACTGAGTATGCAGCATGGGAATAAGTAGCTCGCAAGAGCCGTATGGGAATATGAAACAAGAGACTTACGCGCGTAAGGCAAGGTTTCCGCTGGATGCGGCCAGTGCAAGATCATCCGTGACCTACACTCGAATTAGACCAAGATGGACGTCTATGAAGCGGATCCTCATACCGAAACCAGCCTCAACAGGCCTATATGAGATGCTTAGAACATTAGCGAGATGAGGCAACAAGCAGGCTACACGCTTACCTAAGCCGGAACAACGGTACGTAGGTGAATTCTTCATGTTCGAAGTCGCAAATCTACCGAATATGAGGCTTGTGAGTTACTTGAGCTCGAGAACACCAGCTCATGACTTGCATAGCGATAAGTGAGATGAGATGCGCATAGCGTGCAATTAGGTAGCAAACCTGGACAGGACCGACGAGTGAGCGCACGCCAAGGAGAGACTGAGCAGCGCGAAGCTTACATGTACCAGTTGAAACCTAATTCTACGCGTCACGAGGCCGAACTCAACCTTGTGCAGCGACAGGATGAAATACCAGCTTCCGAAAAGCGTCAGAACTAGCGAACACAGCCACCAGAACCAACACAGAGTGGCAACCCACCCATAGAAGCCGAGTGAGAGCGCGATGTTCACAGTGAATAGGTATGAAGTCAGCGCGAGCACTTCCGGGTTTTGCCAATGGACCATCTTGCGCGCCGTTTTCCTGTTCCAAGGCTAGCCCGGACCGCTGACACACGGCGTCCTGTCCCGTGAGCAAGGGGAATCGCCGCAGCGCCGCAGGCTGTACCACGGTCGGGTTAGGTGGAGATGGAGGTTGATAGCAGAATGGCGGTCGACGTCGCGGGCAGGCGATGCAACCTTTCAGGCACGGCGAGCGGATAACGAGTACGCTTTGATGGGATCATGGCAACCGCGTACTGCCGCCGCAGGCGTGCTTGTTGCCGTTTGCCGCTTGTACATGATACCTACTCTAAGAGCGAGTGTACTTAGTCGCGCTGGTGATGATAACGCAGCAATCCAGTCGATATTAGCCGGCTATATTGGGTAAAATCCACAAAGACTCGAGACAAACTTTTGCACTACACTCAGTCTCTGCATCATATGCAAAGAAAGGGCAACCGTTAAGGCGTCATTTACCTATGCTTCGCGTGCACAGCACATAGTAACATACCTTTATCGAAGAAACATCGTAATCCTTCAGGTCCTGGTGCACACGAACGAGCTTAAGACATCGTTGTAGTCCGTCTCGTTGAGGTATGCGTTGCCAGGATAAACAGCGTACAAGTCGTAGCCGCCATCACAATTGTAGTTGCTGTCGCTGACTAGTTAGCCAGAAGCCACGAGCAACGGCGGTTTGACGGCAGACGCACTCGTAGATGACACATTCCCAGCCCTGCGGAGGCCCGATGCTGGAGATGTCTTCCTGAAATTCTGCCGGAAAGTTGTAACACTCGCCGGCGAAGAAGCCGAGATTCTGGCATATGCCGGACCAGTCGACATCCGTGCAGACGTAGAGATAGTCGTCCATGGCAGTTTCCCGAGCCTGAGGGAGGATGGGGTCAGCATGAAGCTCGGCATAGGGAGATTTGACAGACCTCGAAGGTAATAGGTGACGCCGCTGCGGTGCCTGCAAAGCCCAGGGCAGTCGCCGGAATAACAAGGCTTGCTTTGAGCTGCATGCTGCGATATGGTAGAGGATGTTATGCTGTAAAGGAGCACGAGTGCTGGTTCTGGTGGTCAGCAGGCGCAATACAGCTGGGTTTTTATATCGCAGTGAACGCGACATGTGTTAACGAGCACGGAATGAGAACGCTCTGAGACTGGAGCGGTCCACCAAACATTGGCACAAGGTCGGCATGAGTGTTCTGCAGATGTCTCTAGCCACCAGCAGCCCTTCCCCGTAGCGGCGGT